ATAGGTAGTAGTTAATCCAGAAATTAACATTGGAAATTTAAGTTTATATAAGTCATTCCACTGATATGGAAAAGAAAACTTATGATGGAGTGGTAAAGGGAAATAAACTGTTAAAATAGCTCATTGCCACTCAGTGCCATATGTTTAAAAATGTTCAAAAGAGACCCAAAATTATAAAAATGTAAATACATTATGATAAACTTCAGCATTTATCAAAATCCAGATAGTAGCTTTGGCCATGGATATTGTTGCTTTCATTGCTAAAAAACTCACACATGTACAGGGCACAGGAAATACAGGTAACCTTAAACTGTTTCTTTTGTAGAACCAGCTACCTAAGCTAAACACTAAATATAATATCAGAAGCATTCATAATTTTTATTATTATACTAATATCTAGCCTAATATTTCTGCCACCATTAAGAGACTGCAAGCCATCTCTGACTAGAAGCAATACTCAAAATATTTACAAATTAAAAAATAAAAATATTTTTCTTTCAGCCCAGTTTTTACTTATAATTATTAACATCTAGTGTTCTGACTTCAGTAAACAATGAATCCAAGTGAATGGGAAGCATGACAGATTCCTGATTTGCACAGCAGCAAAAAGGCTTAAATGGAGTAAAGTGTGTATTTTAGAGAAAACTACGTATAGCAAAAGACTAAAGCAATTACAATTTTTCCATCATGAACATGTGATAGAGGGCTATATCTCTGCAAACTGCCGTTGTTATAGAAACTCTGCTGACATGTTGCTACTACAGTGAAAATGGCATTATACTCACATTAATGTCTTTTTTATCAACCTCAGTTCAAAATTCAGAGCACTTTAATTTACAATCAGGGAGCTGCACATCATTCACTGCAGCTGCAGGCAGTGTCAAATGCTGCTGTTGCCTGGTAACTAACAGGTACCTGGTGCAAGTCTGTTATATTTATGTACATAGAAAGCTAATGACAGAAGGCAGAGTGAACATTTATCTGAAGGTAAAAAATTTGGTCTCTATTTACTAAAATACAGGATTTTCCTCTTGCAGTGAAACCATTGCTGAAACATATATTACCAGAGTGAAAAATTGTACTTATTTCTTTTGATCGTCAGTGTAAATGACTAAAAGTTATTGTTACTGATATAGCTGTGTCAATTCATTAAAACTTAAATAGGGGTGAACAGTATGTTAAAGTTTAGCCACAAAATACTGTAACTACAGTATGAAAGAAACATTATTCAGTATTTTGTTAGGAAATTTTAATCCTGGCATCAGAGTATCTAGCTCTCTCACTATCTATACTACAATACTTTGTAAAGAATAGCATTTTAAATAGAGGCTAATTTGGGTGTCCAAAGTTTACGCTTTATCCAGAAGGTTGCTACTGCCCAGCAGCTACTTAGATTTCTTATGTTGCCCTTAAGTACAGACAAACTGAGCAGTGAGAATAGACTCTGAATGGACGGACTCAGATACAGTCTACGCTGGACTTAAACAAGCTGCTTCAAATAATCATTTCATTATTCTTTTCTCAAGACCCTAATCCAGACCACTGCTTTTTATTTTATAACACAACTTGACGTTTCTTGAAAGTATGAATTATTTGTGTGAATGAAATTAACAGCAAAATTGCCCCTAATTTCAATGGCATCCCATTTTTGCCTCAGGTTGGTCTTTTGTAAATGTACTGCATCTGGATCTACAAACAACTTCTGGACTTCTTAAATGACTTCTGTTAAGGGAACTTCTACACACAACATTAGAAGATTGACTTCACTATTTTTACCAGAAATGCCTTTCACCAGACCTTAACATTCAGTTCACACCACAGCTATGTAATTATTCTTTTCAGAAGCAGAGATGCAAAGAAGGCATTAACAGCTGTTCAAAATATCACATTTATGCACTTTTCTCTTGTCATATTAAATATAATTACCTCTGATGCAATCAAACTCATATCCTTCAGATGGATAAACCCAGCACCAAATTTAGAACCTCAAGCTTCAAATATCAGGCTCTTAAAGCAAAGCTTTAAGCCTTTACTTTCAGTTCAGTGAGGTACAACATAAGAATAGTGCGAACGTTAGGTTTAAAAATGGTATCTTTTTATGATTTTTCTTTAAATTATTCTCTTAGTTATTGGTTGGAAAGTGTTTTTAAGATCATAGGTGGTATATGAACTACATCTTATAACGCAGCCACCAAGAGTTGTGGATCAAGTAACTGACCAACATACATGTTCCTCAGAACTCTTTATCATGGGAAAATAAATCTCAGTATCTTATTTTTCATAATAACTGCCAGTCCTGACGGGTCTAAAGAACTTACAGTATGCACTTATTCTTCACACAGATATCGACATACATGCTTTTAGGCTGGCACAATAGCTAATTTTTAAAATGGGAGAGTATACACTAGTAACAAATATACATGCAGGTCTAGATATAGGATCACGTCTTGTTTAAATACAAGTATACCTTCAAATATGCAATAATTAATTGCAATCAACTCTACATGGAGTGAAAAACTGTGTTAACAGCTATAAAGCATGTTTATAGAATAAATGTTTATTAGCAACTCCTCTGCCCCTTATACATTAAAAGTAATACAGTGCATTCTTTATAGAATTTAAGAATATTATCTACTATCATTATGACTGTCTACAGACAGATACCATACAATGCCAAACACAATTTTAGCATTCCACGTTGTATACTTTTCAAGAATCTATAGTTTGAACTCACTATAAATATAATGGTGACAGGTATATACAATCAATAATCATAAATAAGGAAAATTTATGCATGTAAACAAACATTCATATTTATATAATCATATGATAATTAAGATTGGAGGACTCTGGAGGTCACATAGTTTAACCTCCTGCTCAAAGCAGGGCTAATTTCAAAGCTGGATCAGTTTGCTCAGGCCTTTCACCAGTTGTGGTTTTCATCTCTCCAAGGAAGGAGATTTCACAACCTCTCTGCAAAATGACCACCCTAATATTAAACATTTTTTTTTCCTTAGCTCTAATAAAAATTTCCCTTGCTAGAGTCTGTGTCTATTGCCTCTTGGGCTTTCACTGTGCATTTCCATAAAGATTTTCTCCATCTTCTCTATAGTCACCCATTAGGAAACATGTTTTCTGAAGAGTAATAAACAGACTGTATCATCCCTGAACACATGGTCCCTGGTTTTGTGCAGAACATGTCCAAGCCAATCATTACTTATATATCACTCAAAGAAGTACCACCACAGTAAACATATTTGCTAAAATAAAGAGTAACTTGGGACTAATAAAATCATCTGTATCTTTGGCAAGAATTCAGAACAATGTCTGCCAATGTTGGGACATAAAGAGATCTAGGGAGCACATTTCAATTTTGAGGTTTTGCTTTGTAAACTGAATTTTAAAAGTGTAATTGCTTTAGCACTGGAAAGTAATGTTATTCTACCTCATTTGAAAAGAATATTTCTCTGTAAAATAATGTTAGGTTGAAAAACAAAGCCCTGAAGTTTATACCTAAATGCAAGCTCTGGAACTTGTAGTTTACTCTGTCTCAGGTAAATATGAACTCAAACAGCAGAAATTACTTACACTACTTCACCTTGAACTAGTATGCCTGAACAAAATTTTAGATGCTTTACTCTTGATGAAGAAAGAACAAATTTTTAACATAATTTAGTTCAGCTATTAGAAAAAAATCCCCACTGTTAACATGATAGACAGATGTTTCCTTGCTAAGTTACAAAGTTTCATTATTTCTGTTCTTCTACTAGGTCTAAATAATAAGCAATAAATAAAGGCAATGTAGAGTTCAAAACTGATCAATATTATTTGCTTCACTATCATGGAATCCAGTCAGTTGTGGTTTTTTCAGTGTTTCTGAAATGATGGCTAAAATACACAGTTTCTGCAATTCTAGAAGTTAATACAAGGATTTTCATGTCTCAGTACTATTATGAACTATTAAGTGCTAGGATTTGTTTCTGCTGGCAGGACTATGAGACCAGCAACCTGCCCATTGCTCACTCCCCATGGGCATGCTGTATTTTCCAATTGTGCCATTACAACTGCTCCTGCAGCTGTAGAAGGAATTGCATGAGGAACTGATCTGAGCTAAAAACAATGCTTGGGGTCAGGCAAGGGGAGAAGTAGCTCATTATGCAGGCACTTTTATGAAAATGACAACCGTGAAATTATGGCTTAGCTAAGTCAGGCAACTGGCAAGTTTTTAGAGGATAAACCCATATACAGTAGATCTCCTCCTCTACTCAACAAACTGCGTTTACTACTGACAATTGACTCAAAAATTCAACTAGAGACAACTAATTTAATCTAATTTCTCCAAAAACTTCCAAAAGCTTGTCTTCCTTCTTCACAGCATTTTTGTTTCAATTATCAAGTTTTAAAAGAAAGAAAAGAAATCGCACCTATTATATTTTCACAGTCCCAAAAGAAGTAAATTCCTTGGTGTAATGAAAGCAAAAGCAGATAAAACAGCTATTAATTACAGGAATCAAAGCGTAGTGTTTTATCTGGAACTCTGATTTTAAAAAGAAACAGAAATTTGTCCATTTATGTATCCAAATGTCTTTGTACTTAAATGAAAGTATTTTATCTAAGATGAAGAATTCAGGGCACCTCACTCGCATACATATTCCTCTCTGGAAATTGTCTTCAGGTATACCAACATTACACTATAGCTTTTATATTCAAAGGATCCTTCTAAAAGGTTCCTCTCTGAATGCAAAAGGTGCCTGAAAATCAGAATGCACACAAACACTTAGAAATCCAACCCCAAAAAATCTGCTGACATTCAGAAGCAAGTGTCAGGATATATACACAAAAACAGTTCCTCTCAGAAAACCCCAACCTCTTGATGTTACTGCACATTCAAAGAAAAAACCCAAACAAACAAATAAAAGAAGCAGCATGGACTGCAGAACTAGATTTGTCTTTCAATACATCAGTTGCCATAAAATAGTAAAAACAAAGACAGGACTTACTAAAAACTGCCAGTGATGATGCTCTTGATTTACAGTGGTGACATGAGACTTGGAAATCTGGGTCTCTTCTAAAAACTGGGTCTGATCAAATATTTTCTGTGATGTTGCAGGATGCAGACATGATGGATCATTTCTAAACTGTGTAGAACAAAACAAAACAAGTCAAGTGACCAGTTCGTTAAAACTGCATTTGTACTAGCTAAGACTTGCTCTTCCTACAACACATTCTGTTTCATTAACGTTTTTCATTGCATGTGCCCCCAAAAGCTGCTTGAAAGTGATGGTTAAATATACATTACATACATAGAAGCCAATCTAAACTAATAAATTCAGCTTTGCTGAATAAACATATTGTCAGGGCAGGCAACAAGACTGAGATCCAACATAAATCTCCAAAATGAGACTTAAATAATGTGGTCAATGGTCCCTTGCAGGAAATTAATTTCAGAGTGAAAAAATTCAGTTTCGATATTTTCTGTATAAAATGTAGGGACACGGAACTAAGCAGAAAAATTCTGACTAATATTTATCATTAGAGTCTGCAAGTTTGTCAGAATATCATATAATCATAAAACTGTTTGTGTTGGAAGGGACCTCAAAGACCATCCAGTCCCAACCCCCCTGCCCCGGGCAGGGCCCCCTTCCCCCAGCCCAGGGTGCTCCCAGCCCCGTCCAACCTGGCCTTGAACCCTTCCAGGGAGGGGGCAGCCACAGCTGCTCTGGGCACCCTGGGCCAGCGTCTCACCACCTGCACAGGGAAGAAATTCTTCATCTGATCTAAAGAATTTCTAAATCTAATCTAAATCTACCCTCTTTCAGTTTAAAACCATTACCCCTCTTCCTATCCCCACACTCCCTGATCAAATGTCCCTCCCCACCTTCCCTGTCCCCCCTTTAAGCACCGGGAGGCCACTCTAAGGTCTCCCCAGAGCCTTCTCTTCTCCAGGCTGAACCCCCCCAACTCTCTCAGCCTGGCCTCACAGGGGAGGTGCTCCAGCCCCCTGATCATCTTCGTGGCCTCCTCTGGACCCACTTGAGCAGGTCCGTGTCCTTTTTACACTGGTGGTCCCGGAGCTGGACCCAGCACTGCAGGTGGGGTCCCACCAGGTCAGAGCAGAGGGGGAGAATCCCCTCCCTAAACCTGCTGCCCACACTTTTCTTGATGTGGCCCAGGACACGGTTGGCTTTCTGGACTGCAAGTGCACATTTCTGGCTCATGATCAGTTTTCCATTCATTACTACTCACAAGTGCCTCTCTGCAAGGCTGCTCTCAGTCCACTATATCTCTACATTAACAATAAAGTTCCAGGAAAGCTAATAGAAAGTACCATCAGAAATCCTGGGGTTTTTCCTGCCAGCTCAACCACACAACTCACAGTGCACCCCAAGTTAAGAGGGATCATCAGGTTTGATATTTTAAATATTTTTTGATGGACTCAGACTCATCAACATTCTCAAATTCTTTTTTAAAGAAGGTGTGGGAACAACCACCTCAAATATACTACCTTTTCATGTAAATATAATTTCAAATGTACATGTTTCCGAGGAACCTTAAAGGATTCTGAATTTGGGAAAGTTCAAAACTACTTATTCCTTTGCTTAACATTTTTTGTTCTGGCCAACAATCAACCATTCATAAAATGACTCCATAGAGATCATAAATTATTGAAATAGGCACAATCAAAGTCACCGAAACCAATGGAAAAAGTCCCACTGATCTTTGGGTAATATCTTACTTGTTTCTAGTTTAGCTTCATAACCCAAGAAAAGATCCAATAAAGCAGTTCTCCCCTCAGACAAAATTAGCTTCCCTTCCTTACACCATAAGTCAATCAATTTTAATTTTAATGCATATGACTCTTACTTACAGCAAGTAAGAGTCATATGCATTTTAAGCTGTTTCTTCAGGAAACAGGAAAAATGGTGAAGAAGTTTTTTAAAAATAAAAAAGGATTTAAAAAATAATGTAACGTAGCATCAACATTGTGACAGTTTTAAACGAACCCAAGTTTAATGTAAAGTCTAGTATGAAATGCAATTAATTTGTTTTTCCTGTTCCCAGAAGCTTAGCAAATCACTAAGATGATTACATTTAAAGATACCTATGTGATTGATCACTTCATGAACAGCAATGAATAGGTGGCTGTTTCTACTACATAAAGATCAGATGTAGGTCTGTCAAAAAACTCTATGATTTCTAAGATTTAATTTACAAGGCTTTAATTCAAGTGAGAGAAAGAATTGAATTGAAGGACAGCATGCAAATATGAGCAAGAAACTTCTACTGGCATGGTTAAATTCCTCTAAAACTAATATTCAAAACTTCCAAAAGATCCACAATATCAAGCATCTGAGCAGTGCATGGAGCCAGTAGATTTATATGTCTATTCACAAGCCATCCCTTGAATTAAAATATGTACAGTGCATTACTCCTCACATACATATGTTGTCAATAACATAATCAACAGTATTAGGTGCATTGATTAAAAGAATAGAAGGGATACAAGTGTAAAGATAACATTTTTTTCAGAACTGACTACAACCCCCATTCCACATCCCTCTGCACTGCTTGGGAGGAGGAGGTAGAGAATTTGTGAGTAAAGTTGAGCCTGGGAAAAAGGGAGAGGTGAGGGAAAGGTGTTTTAAGATTTGTTTTTATTTTCTCATTACCCTACTCTGATTTGATTGGTAATAAATTAAGTTAATTTCCCCAAGTCAAGTCTGTTTTGCCTGTGATAATAATCTCTGAATGATCTCTCCCTGTCCTTATCTTGACAGATGAGCCTTTTCTTATATTTTCTCTCCCCTGTTCAGCTTAGGAGGGGGAGTGGTAGAGGAGCTTTGGTGGGCACCTGGCATCCAGCCAGCATCAACCCACCACACAGACATACTCCTGCAGTAAATAGAGGGTGTTTTGCAGTTAATTTCTATAAGAACTTTTGCTGTGTCCTCACTTTTGCACAAGGTTTTCACAACTCTGAACCACATGCTCTATCTTCACATTCCTCTTTGTGCAATATTCAGGTAAAAATAGATGTGTGCAAAGATGTTAGTGCTCTTGAAATAACTGTTTTAGAAACAAACGTTATTGCAACCACAGCTGTGAAGCAGTAAGGCACCTTTCCATAATATTTGATTTGGGTTGCATTTCAAAAACTAGAAAATAAATAAAAAAAAGAAAGTAGTAGAAAGGTCTACTGAATAAGGTCAGCAAACTAAATTCAGATGAAACCCCATCTTTGCAGAGATGGCTTCGTTTCAGCTACACTGTGAGAGGGTAGGAAAGAAATACTCAAACGCAACTCATACAGTGTAGTGTGCCCAGGATCCAACACACTACACTGTGCAGTCAGCAGGGGAAACATGACAATAGCTTCCTTCTACCCAATAAACAGAACTTAGATCTTTTCCTGTCTACATCCTGCTAAAAACTATCAGGGTATCAGTTTCCACCCCTGTTCAGCCAGCAGTTCCACCTTTCATCCCTCAGTAGCTGCATTTTCACATAAGGATCTCTGCGCTGCTTCCTTATGCTGAAGAAAAGCTTCCCTATGAGCATTTGTCAAAAAGTATCCAATTGTCCTCCTTAAAATTCTCAGTTGCTTCAGTACCTATGAAAACTAAGTAATATTCAGCCAGGTGACACCCCAAGGTTACTCTCATCCCCACCAGTGTTGTTCCATCATTTCTTCCTACTCCCCTTTTCTGTCTTACTAGTCTTATATCACCTGCTAAACTATGAACTTCTCAGAGAAATCATTCTCATCATTACATTCATGTAGTACAACACCCTCTGGAGTCTGAATTTGTGCTAAAAACTATAATGTAACAGCAGAGAAGAGCTGACATATTTATTGGCCTGGGTAGATAATAAGCATGAATAAGTTCTTCCAAAGACTTTAAAACTTGTATTTTTCACTAAAATGGAATTCTAAAAATAACTTTGGATAGTGCCCTCCACACACAAAATGTCAATGTGTATGAATTGCATCCTATATGCAAAAGCTAAATATCAGAGGTTATTGTCTAACAGATTGTTCAGAGTTAATGATAGATAATTCCACTCATACCCCCACACTTCCATCTATTTTTAAATGTCTTTACTTACATAATGTTTGATGTCTTCATCAGCACCAATCTTACTCTGATGGCAACATCAAGGCTGTACTTGTAGGACATGGGAAATCACACTGAAAAGCATGCATCCTTACATTTCTGTTAGGCTTGGGCCTGGAAGCACAGGAGCTTTTATTTATTCATGAGTTTCCTGCGAAGAACTAGTGGTTGCTTTCTGTCAGCTGAATAGGATCGTAATTCAATCTTCACTGGGACCTGTTTATCTGAATGACTCATTAAGGTGCAGGCTGACTGCTAAAGAACTCTGTTTCATAATAACAAAGCCTTTTGTTAGGGGAATATATGTTTTGATAAGTCACTTTATGCAGCATGAGTTTATCAAGTTCATTTGGAAGAGATAGTATGATTTCTTAAAAACATAAACAAATGAAGCACATTCATACCTGTAACAACAATATTTTGCAGCAAGGCTTATGTCAATGGGCAGTAGGATGTTTTATGGGCACAGGCCTGGAAAATGCAAACTCACAGCTGCAGGAACACTGGAACAGAATAGTTTCTGAAGTGCTCAAGGCTTAGTATTCAAGAACAGGATTTGCAATCAGCTTTTCAAACAGAGCTGTTACCATTCCTCTGAAGGTCTAGTCTTTCCAAAAGGCTATCTGTATATAAATGTCAAGGAGCCAAGTAGAGTTTCACAAATCTACAGCTCTAGTATCTACAGAATTACTATAAATCCAGGTAACAAATGACCTCTTAGACTCATTAAGATAATACCCATTACAGAGTTTTCACTCAGGAAAGTTTCAGGTAACAGAAACAGCAAGAATAGTTGACCCTTTACAAACAGATCTTTTCCAGAGATCACTGCTATAGTATACATGAAATGAAAATCAGCTCAGGAGCTGAAAGAGTTGTTCTAGGAAAATCGCCTAGCAGACTGAGCACATGAGGTCAAGTGATAGACTGAGGTTATTGCTGGCTATTGCTTAACAGCTCTGTTTGGAGCCAAAGGATCACAGTAATAGTTTACAAAGGAAGAAGAATACAGAGGGATTATG